ACAAAAAATATATTAGATTAGACACAGAGTTTTTAGGTTGTTAAAGTTAACATTGATACATATATACTTCCATATCACCTCTGATCTGGAGCTCTACATGACACAAAGATGTCAGTTATGATTGATGTTGCTTCTTGACACACTCATGCTATTCTTCTCAAACTATCTGTTCAGTGCCCATAAATCACCACATAACTTTCAGCTGAAAATAGTTTTGTCTAAGTATTAAGATAGATTATATTCCAATATCATATTTAGTGTAAGTGAAATGCTTTATAGTTCTTAAGCATCCTACTTAGTTATTTGCATATCTGGACAAGATCCACACCTGAAATGGGCTGCACCTTAGCCTACTCCTTGCAAATTGAAAATCTGTAGTTGGAAGAATACAGTTTTGACCCTGAGCATGTCCACACTAGCGTTTAATTCAGGTCAAGAGCGCATTTCCACAGAAAACCTCACTATTGCCACCACCTCCATGCACATTGTTTCGCATTGCAGAGAGGTTCTGTAAAGTACAGCCTGGACCCTTCCAGGTGAACCTCAGCTGGAAGTTGTGCTGCCCCTTATGCACAATATCCACCAGTGGTCATTCATCCAGCCCATGGGACTGGACAAGAGTTCAGCCATAGTGAAAAACTGTGCATGAAATATGTACAGTGTGCACATGAGGTCCAACTATTCTGTTCTAAACTCCCTCTTGCAAGTCTGCACAACATGCTAACATAGGGATGGCCTCCAGCCACAGGACAAGGCTGGAGCTGGAGACAAGTACACTGTCTGGGTGGATTTTATAGATACTAGCCCCTGCTATTTGTCAGGTCCACAAATAACTATTTAGTAGTTAAGGGGAAATATCACCACTGGTTTGTTGGGGTTTGTTTACTCTCTCAGTAAGATTTTTGTGGCATAGTGGGAAAACCAACTATAACAATAGGCCTAAGGATTTCCTCCTGTGTAAGTAGGATCTAAAGGAGCTCTGTGTGTAGCTTTGTGTCTTCACTGCATTAACAAAACAGTGCAAGTGACAGCACGTAGCTTATGAGTCCATTCATTTTTAAAGGCTGTGGAAAAGCAGTAATTTCCTTTTTTAGTCTTCTTCCTCTTTGACTGTAGATAATCTAGTAGGTTAAAACCAAAGCATTCATCTAGAATGTTTTCCTTATTAGAATCAGAGAAAAATAAATAAAACTGCTTCTTCAGAAACCTCAATTTAAAGAAACATTACTTTTCTCTACATAAAAGAATGAAGAAAAAGTGAAATGGAAGATCAGTTACAAGTAATACAGCAAAACAAATCAAGAATACTTTATGTTTGCTCTTATAAAATGACCCATTTTTATTTATTTTTTAGAGAATAAACTGTCATATGGAAAAGCTGTTCAATTCATGTGTTTTAAATCAAATCAGTATCAAAGCAGCTTATTACTTTATTAATGACATATGGCATAGTCAGAGAGCTATACTTTTAGGATCAATATCAGCAATACAAAAGATAAACTACAATACTAGACACTTAAGAAAGGCTAGTAAACAGTTGCAAATTTCTAAACATCCTTCTATAACAAGTCCCCAAAAATTCTAATACCCACTGACCCACACTAGGAAAAAAAGACCCCACAAACCCCCTCCACCCCCACTCCCCCCTTCCCCAAGGTGATCCCTGTGTGCCAGCCCACATGCATGGGGACGGCCCCTGGCTGGGTGCAGGCACCCCACAAGAGGGTCTTCTGTCCAGGCTGGCGCGAGTTTGCAATGTCAGTGACCATAATGTCAAACCATGTCCAGATGCTGCCCTGTTCCCACCTCCCTCTCTACTTTTATAAATTGCCATGCTTCTTTTGTCCTTCTTTTCAATCTGACCTTTGCTTCAGAACACTCCAGTTCCCTGGATATGACTCAATCCAGCTGGTGGTCATCTTTCCCTCTGGCAAAATAATTTTGGAGCAAATGTTCCCTAAGACAGTTTGGGGTATTTCACTCAACACAGATGGGATGCACTCACATTCCTCTTTTTCAGCTGTTGCTGTCCGTGACATTTTGCAGTGGGAAAGTCATTTGGTCACCCTTTCAAATCGTTATTTAAGGGAAGACAGATTTGTCAAAAGTCAAGAAATTAATATTACCATTAATGCCTTTCTAGATCATTAAGTGGAAAAAAACCCAAACCCAACCTCTTTACTTTCCATATTGACATTCCTTCCCCTGTTGCATTAGGCTAGTGAGCAGAACTTTCAGGTTCTATCTAAACCCCAACCTAAGGGTTTTCAGATCACAAAATGCCCTTCACATCATGCCAAACCATAAAATGGGAAATACTCTTAACTGCACTTAAAAACATATGCGTGAAAGGAACAAAGTGTAAATACCCATGTCAGAAAAAAAAGCTGCATTTCTGTTTGTTCAGGATTTTAGTGTGACACATGAAGATGCTGTTCTGAAATCTGCACAACAGTCACAGGAAAAAAAACCCCAAACATCTCTTAGTGTTGTGTATTTCTGGAAGAATAGTTACTCCTTGCCTGAATTTCTTTAAATGTCTTTGAACAAATATTTTGATCTGGTATTCAGAGCATGAAAGAAAATATACCCTCAACAAGACAGAGTTATGAATTCAGTGTGTGTCATGTGGGGCTGACACTTTGCCATGATGATTAGTTTTTAAATTAAGAAAATTTGTTCTTGCAATTAATGAGAATCAGTAGAGAACTTTGGAAACAAAAAAATTCATTTGTCTAACATCAGATATTCACACTGACTGCAGTTTTACTCATTCACCTTTTAGTACATTTGGAAAGAATTCAAAATCACAAAGATCAACTAGCTTTAGCTTGATGCTGCTAGAAGAGCTAAAATGTGTTTAGTCTCTGAATATTAATTACCATGCTGCTTTAAAGGTTACAACAGTCACTTTTTCCCAGGGAGGTCATAGTTCTGATTGAATAAAGGTTTAATTATAGAATATTATAGAACATTGCAGTGAGCTGCAGCAACAAAGCCAGCAAGTGGGTTATTCTTTCTTTGACAGTCCTAAAAAGATAATAAAGGCATGCGAAAAAGAGAAAAACACATCTGTTAAAAAAATTGAGGCAATTATGGATTAATAGTTTGTTTGTTTTTTCCCACTGATATAGAAGAGAAAAAAGATGTTACTGCTATTCTAACTGCTGTGCTTGCCAGTATTAGAGACTTTTTTTAATGAGAAAGCTCTATCAAATTCTATTTAGCAATAAGGTTATGATTCATATTACTGCAATTGAATGAAAAATACAGGGACTCATCGGACATTCGCTGACATTAAATACTTATTAATAATTACTATTTGATATGAAAAAGATTCTGCTGGGAGCAAGGTAATACATTCCATTCAATCATGCCTAACCTTACATGCAGAAATTTATGCCACCATAATGCAAGTCATATAGCATTCCATATAGAGTAAACTCTATATGTGTGATCAACATGTGATCTTTTTTTTAAAACTTGAGGCTGGATTTTGCATCTCATTGTACAAATTTTAGCACAGAAAACATTACAGAAATACAGGTGTGAATGTCGGACACATCTAATTGCTTCTTTTTTCCTCTTGCCTTTCCTTCTCTTCTGCTTCCTCCATATTGTGAATCCCTTCCATCTTCTGAATTTTCATTCTCCCTGTTGCTGTAAAAAAACCTACAGCCAGTGCGAAGTGATCTGTTTCCCTTTGCCAAAACAGGTAAAATGTACTGCAAGGCCTTTTTTTCCCTAGGGACCACAGGCTTCCCTTGCAATCCTTCCCAGGAGCATGAAGGTCTCATCACAACAGACTAAAGTGGCTCAAGATTACAGACTGTCTCACCTCAAACTGCTCCAGGACTACAGATCTCCTGAGTCCTGGGGCCCTCTTCTGACAAATTTGGCTGAACCAATAATTAGCTTGGAAACACCAGCCAAGTGTTTTCCTTCTTTTGTCTTGATGAGCGGCTGTCAGCAGTGCCTAAATCGTTAATGTCCATCTGAAACCTTACTTTCTAACAGACTTCTGATTTCCAGTTGTCTGACAGGAAAAGGTCTGTGGGAGTTAAAGACAGGAGTGTGAGTACATGGCTCGATGTGGTAATTTCGACACGGTACAAGGTCTTAACTGTGAATGATAGGCAGCATGGATAACTGCAATGTTTCACCTTAGCTGGTTTCAGAAAAACAAAATTAATCTCAGTCCTAGTCTTTCAGTGATTTTGTTCTCGGTTGCAAGACAAGCAGCAAATGTGTCATGCTTTGTTTCTGAAATCTGATAACTACAGTACAGGAACAAAAAATAGCAGCACAGCTTTCCTTGCAATTTCCAACAAAAGAGACAAAACCTGATTGTTCAGACAATATCTCCCAGCTGAAAACCGAATTGCTGAGGATTTACCTGCTATATTCCTAACAAATATCCTCTGTGAAATTGGAGTGTAATTTTTTCCTAGGCCTTTTTCCTGTTCCTTTTATTATTTTCTTCATCCTTCTTTTTCTGTTTCTGAGTATGTGTATCTATATCACAAGTACAATAATCTAAAGAGCTAGGTAGTTCAGGACAGTTTTGGTCCATGATAAGGAGCATTTAAATTAATGTGTTAGAGAGCCTTGTTCTCAGTGGAAGACTGGCTGTCTCACTTTGCACAAAAACGATTTCCTAAATTTTTATACCTTACTCACATAGAGTTATCAAATGTTTAAACTCTTCAGTCTGTATTGTTGCACTGATATAGAATTATTTCAAAGAGGAAATAATGTTTTTTTTTTTCACAAGTATGACCTCTACAGTAGGGAAAAACAAAGTAAAACCAAACAGCATACAGAATGTGTTCCACTGCCTGCGCTGAAGACATTTAACTAGGACTGTGACCTTTAAAAAAAAACCAGAAGAAAAAAAAAGCCCAGAAGATGAAAGGATGGAAGATGTGTTGTGAATATGTGGATACCCTGTAGCTAACTCTGTATCTGGTGAACTAAAATTATCTTTTTTTGCCTTATAGGTTTTTTAAGTACTGGGGATCAAGCTGCAAAAGGCAATTATGGATTGCTTGACCAAATCCAAGCTTTACGTTGGATTGAAGAAAATATTGGATCTTTTGGAGGAGACCCAAAAAGAGTTACTATTTTTGGATCTGGGGCAGGAGCTTCTTGTGTCAGTCTCCTGACACTCTCTCACTATTCAGAAGGTAAAATATTTTGAGCAAAGCACTTTTTTTTTTAAACATTATAGTGTAACAAAAATGGCCATATCAGGTAGCCTGAATTAGAATTACATGAGATCTGTAATTTTTGTACAATACCTAGCAGCAAGGATTCTGGATTTGTATTAGTCAACATAAATATTTTATATGAAAACCTAAATGCTATTACAACAGAAATTTCATGCAACAAATGCCATGGGCAATATACATTTTCTAGCTTTATCAACGGTATCCACTGGCTCTTCTATCAAAAAAAATCGTCTTAATTAAAATGGAAAAGGGCAATGACCTTTTTCATTATTTACAGTCTTGTCTGCACTTCCAACATGTATTTAGATGTTTTCCTTACGTAATAATAACATAACAACCTTATTAAAACTGTATTTAACTCCCACAAGTACTGTGTGATCCCACACAGTGTACTTAAGATTTTGGTAAGTGTTTGAGCTGTGGGCTTTCTACCCTCAACACCTCACCCCCCCAAAAAAATCCCCAAGAATGTACAGCACCAGTAGTGAACCACAAATATTCCTGGTGATAAGACCAAATCTACAAAGAATTTATAAAAGAAGACAAGACCAAAATATCTATTGCATTTATAAGCCCACATTAAAACACACAGAAATATATGGCAGAAGGCTAAGACCTAGAAAGCGATTGTAGCAGGGCTGCTGGCAAACACACCCTATTTGGAAATACATAAAATTATGCCTGACAGTTTAATCTACTGACACAAGTAGGGTGCAGTGAATAACTGTTGAGTAAGCCATGCCAAAACCAAGAAAAATAGAACCATGAAAAACTTAACTAATCACTTCATTGAAATTTTGTAGTGAGTGCAGTAAGAAATCATCGCAAAGGTGTATTAACCACAACCAATTTTTCCCATAAATGTTTCAAGGTCTTTAAGTGGTTTTGTAGCTGTTGCTGTCTGTGGCATTTCAAGATCTTGACAGTAGAAACCATTTATAGAAGAGTCACAGGCATTTTAGTTTAATTATAAAATAGGCCATTTTGGTGATGTTACCAGGAAGAAACAGATGAGGCAGATTCACCAGTAAGCTCCAGTTGCTTTTCAGTGCTCTGGTGACACAAAGAAGCTCTTCAGACTGGGCAGTTAATCTCTCTTTATATTAATACATATAAAACAACCAGAAATAACTGTTGAACCTCATCTTATTATCTTCTGAAAAATGTAAACGTATTTTAATTTAGCATATAGACAGTGCTAAGACACACACACAAATTAAGATGGTAAAGAAAAAAAATGTCAGAGTAGAAGACTCAAGCCTATTAAATTGATTTTAGCAGTGCAGATTTTTTCAAATTATATGATGCGTTTCTTCTGTGAAGGAAATGAGAGTATGTAATTTTCATTTGACCTTTAAACTACTGAAAAGCACATTTATGAGCGTCATTTACATAGCGAAGAGGATATGATTGCTTGTAGCTGCCACACTTTTAAAGAAATTTTTACAGGACTACCACTGTGCTAAAGCCAGGGGACTTCCATTAAAGATGCAAGAAAACTGCAGTACAAGCATGAGTTTTGTTCTTGAAACAGTAACCTGAAAACCTTCATGGTTTATGTGTGTGAGCATCAAGAACAAGAGAGATTTAAATTAGTAGCCTATTAGAGATACTATACAATGGGAGCAGTGAGTAGAATATATGGAAATTGAATTGAAATTTAGGTATATGCACCCTTTAGTTATTGTATAATCAAAGCTTTCTTTGCTTAATGAAAGACACTTTTATTATTTTTTTTTAATATATAATTGGATTTTCATTTAAACAATTTGCACCTGCAGGTTTGTTCCAAAAGGCAATCATACAGAGTGGAACAGCCCTGTCCAGCTGGGCAGTGAATTACCAGCCTGCCAAGTACACTCGGATATTGGCAGATAAAGTAGGCTGCGACATGCTGGATACCACTGATTTGGTTGAATGTCTTCGGAATAAGAATTACAAAGAACTCATTCAACAGACCATCACTCCAGCCACGTACCACATTGCCTTTGGGCCTGTGATAGATGGAGATGTGATTCCAGATGACCCTCAGATTCTCATGGAGCAAGGGGAATTCCTTAACTATGATATAATGCTGGGCGTGAATCAAGGGGAAGGTTTAAAATTTGTGGATGGCATTGTAGACAATGAAGATGGTGTTTCCCCCAATGATTTTGACTTTTCTGTCTCCAATTTTGTGGACAATCTATATGGTTATCCAGAAGGGAAAGATACACTGCGAGAGACCATTAAATTCATGTACACTGACTGGGCAGACAAAGAAAACCCTGAAACAAGACGGAAGACCCTGGTCGCTCTTTTTACGGACCATCAATGGGTTGCTCCGGCTGTTGCTACTGCTGACCTGCATGCTCAGTATGGATCTCCAACATATTTCTATGCATTTTATCACCATTGCCAAAGTGAAATGAAACCCAGCTGGGCTGATTCAGCTCATGGTGATGAAGTCCCTTATGTGTTTGGGATTCCTATGATTGGCCCCACGGAACTGTTCAACTGCAACTTTTCCAAGAATGATGTCATGCTCAGTGCAGTAGTTATGACGTACTGGACTAACTTCGCCAAAACTGGGTAAGTTTGACCTCCAGCATTCCTTTTTGTTGATAACATACTTCTAAAATAGTCAGTATCCCATAGCAGTGGCTTCAAACCCTGATACTGCAGCAGTATTATAGCACTATTTGCGTAAGAGAGAAGGTAATTGGGGCTTATTCATATTTAATAGATTTTTAATTAGTGTGTTCCCTCAAACTATTTCTTGCACTAGATCAGTGAGAATAATAATGCACTGTATTTTTGATTCAAAAAATAGGGCAATTATGAAGACAAAGCACGTCTCAGAGAAAAGGCGTCTCACTAAGATACTAAAAAATCAGAGGCTGCATGTCTACTACTTGAAGGAGGAACTGTCAGGCAGATAACACTTATCTGTTACAAAAGAAAGGACATTCTTGTTTTTAGCAACCTTCACAGGTATGGGGACTCAGGGAGGAATTGGAACAGAAAGGCAGACACTGGAAAGATTTTTCCCTCTGAGGGCTATAATGGCAATAATGAGTACTTGACTGGAATGAAGAAGAGACTCGGATAAAAATTTTGGTTTGAGAAGGTTAAAAATTTAAATTAATTCTACTTACAAAACAAAACAAAGACATCAGTGTTTTGCTGAAATAGAGTTGTAAAGATCAAGGAAAGAACCCTCAAAGCAGCTTAATCTGCGAGTGCTATTAATAATTTCTGTCCTTTTCCTATACCATTTGTTTAAAGAGTATTGCAGTGTTTTACTTGAGCAGCAAGGGCTTTTTTGTTAACCTTGAGTCTTCGGTACTGGATTAAAACAAAGATACTTGTGGCACAAAGGGGCTGTAAATCTTTTCAATGAAAGTTTAATGGCAGGATTGGGGTCTGGAAACTGCAGCTTTACTGCACTGCAGTGAATGGTATGCAGCTATATAAGAAAAAATTCAGAGATGCCTAGTCTGAAACACTCAGAGGCTTCAGCGGCTCTTGCAGCCTTTAATGAATCCAAATGACATTCAAGGGAGAGATATTTTGCAGTCGTAACAAAAGCCTCGAGCACGAATTGAGTAAAAAACGAATGTTTCAGGTCAATTTACGAGGCAAAAGAAGAGGCTTTTGTTGCTCTGCATTTTAGACAAACAGGTATTTTCACATGCAGAAATCCCACCATACTGCAACAATAGCAAATGAATTGTGGAATATTTAGATGTATTTGGCAACAAGAAGTCATCAGTACTGGGATGGACAAACTTCAGGATGAAATCTTGGCTTATGGACAGAGAATGCAGCATGCTGGCTGTACCACACACTCAGAAAGATGATTATACCATCAGTCTGTCCTTATTTTTATGGACTTCAGATCCTCACAATATACATAATTAGAATTATTATGGAGATGCAAGATCTCCACAGTTTCACTATTATTTACAATTACTTTATGACTATTCCCTATAGTTGCATAGAATCATAGAATCATAGAATCATAGAATCATAGAATCGCTTTGGTTGGAAAAGACCTTTGAAATCATCGAGTCCAACCTTTAACCTAACCCTGACATCCCACCACTAAACCATGTCCCTAAGTACCTCATCTATCCTTCTTTTAAATACCTCCAGGGATGAGGACTCTACCACCTTCCTGGGCAGCCCATTCCAGAGCCTGACAACCCTTCCGGTGAAGAAGTTTTCCCTAATGTCTAGCCTAAACCTGCCCTGGCGCAGCTTCAAACCATTCCCCCTCATCCTACCATCTGTTACCAGGAAGAAGAGGCTGACCCCCACATTTAAGCATTTTTTTGAGGCTGTCAGCCCCAGCTTCTCACAGCCCCAGCTACCACCATTACTTGTAATTGCAAGAACTTTCCAGCTGTTGCTACTTGAATTTCATGCGTTCACCCAGTTCTTTAGTTATGAACCCGTTGTCATACTACACCTAAAAGCACAACAGGTACTTTGGGAGAACCATTAGTAATTTCTGGATCTTCTCCACTGCTGATGAGACGGGAATGGGATATATCTTCAGTTACAAACTTGCCCTTTTATAGCCAGTCTGAAAGATGTGTCATTAAAAATGACCTCTAGCTATAGAATTTCAGTTTTCACAAGGAAAGGAAAAGAGCAAGGCAAGATGACACCAACCTTGCTGGGTTTTCTCTTCATTTGTATAAACAATGATTAATTGTTCTGGATAGTACAAGAGAATAATAATATTTTAATATTAGATTTACTCTGCACTGCTAGTGTCTCCAATGGAAAAGGGGAGTTTGTAGCACCTCAAGCCTCCAGCAACATGGGACATATCCATTCTCCTCTCTACCCTCCCACACGCAATCTGGAATCCATGTGCCCAGTCAGGTCCTTCAGCTCTCAAAAAGATTGATATTGTTCAAGACTGTCTTGCTGGGGGCTTTGCACTGAGGTTTTTTCCACCTTTTTTTTTGTTTTTTAATTTATCATTTCACATCCTTTTTCTGATAGAAATTGGTTTTCTTTGTATTTGTACCCATGGCAACACATATAAAAGATCTGTTAACAGCAAGATTTTATTATTCCATGTTTCCCTGTAGGTGAGCCTTGAACATTAAAACTGCAGATTTATTTATTTAATTTTAATGTCTCTGAGACTTTTCCAGTCTGCTGGCCCTCCCACAGAGGTTGCACCCAGGTACTTATTGTATAATTAATGCTCAGGTGGTGCATCATTTTGATGGATTGTGCTAGACTTTTAACTGACATGCCACCCCCTGCTAAAAAACACCCGTTGTTTAATGGGCTTATTGCCAAGACTGGGTTTGGAGGGCAGGTCAGTCCTGTAAAATCACTAGGTGTCAAAGACAGCACAAGGCACGGTGCTTTTATTGTGTTTCACTTTGAAGTCAGTTACTGAAGCTAGCAAATAGGATGTGACAATTAAAGTGACACTTTAATGGCAAATGGATCATGCCTGAGATGAATACCTGGAAGCTACATTTTGCTAATCCTCCATTTTCTACCTTTCTCTGACTCCCCCCCCCGTCCCCCCTCCCCCCAGCATTAACAGTCATTTTGTCCTTTTCAACACTATGTTTCTAACATGCCTTAGAAATAGGAAAGCAAATTGTTACAGAGTAGTTGTGAGAAACTACATTTGGGATACAAAAATGACATGAAAATATGTCTTTTGATTCCACTATGTGCAAAATTATATGTGAGAGCTTTATTAAGAGGTACAGTTAAAGCTTCAGGCTGCTGCCAGTCATACTATCCTAACAGTAATGGCAATTTTATATGCTCAGATGTTCTGTTAGTTAGGGCCATGTTACATGTTTCATAGATACGCCAGCAGGGGGAGAGTGAACGACATGAAGGGATGTGTGCCATTCCTTCACAGATACCCTGCCAGCTACACTCTTGTGAAGAAGGATTTGGAGTTTCATAGAGTAGATATGGAGCCATGTTCTCATTAGAGGCATCTATCAGGTTTCTAAAAATTACCCTCTTTTCATGAATTACAAACTCTAGTTCTGCTCCCATTCATCCAGCTCTGCCTAGGTTGGTGATAAAGGCGTAAAGGATGTATCCTTGTTTTCTTTGTAAATCAGATAAATACTCCTGAATTATTTTACTACCACTGATTATGGAGCAAAAACCTACCTAACTGAGTTATTAAGGATGTCTATGTTTTATATTCAGTTTGGCTTTCTAATGGAAGATACAATTAAACTTACAATGATAAAAATGTATTTTCACATCAATTCTCTGTGAACTCCTTTACGAGGCTGTTGCATTTCTTTTTGGTGTTTTTGTCTGAAGAAATAACTGTCTCCAATGGCCGATCTGTGTTAGTCAAACAGAACAGTGTACTTACAGTTTGCTTTCCTTAGTGGTTATAATAGCTGACTGGGAGCATGGCAACAGTGGGACCTGGTGATAAGTGAGGAAAGGAGGTAAGGGAAAATATGCTTGTGTACCAGTGCTTCAGGCAGGAATGGCTGTACCATTATTAATATTGTGACAACATGAAAAATCGGTAGAAGCATAAAGAAATGCCACACAGTTTTTCTCTCTTTTTTTTTTTCCCCTACATGGAGAAAAGAGGTCTGCTGAAAGAAAATAAATCATTAAGGGGCCTTTCAGTGTCTTGGAGACAGACTCAGTATGGAGCTGTTAAGACATTTTGCTCTCCAATGGAGTTAGAGAATGACACAAAAGAATAAAACACTTTAAGTGCATTAACGTAACGGTTCCATTGTCCTGGGTGGTAATTAATGCTATTGGAGAAGTATTTAAAAGATGAATGATATTTCAACATGTTATATGGAATTCAGGATAAGAGAAAACTTCTTAAGATTCCCCATCATTCTTCCCATGCCAATATCACCAGATATAAAATACTCGGTTCCCACATGTGCCCTCCAGGTCAGCTACTAATACACCCTGTGAACAGGAATGTGTGTTGCTCTTCAGTCAGCATCCACTGCAGACACATTTACTTTATATCACCTGAGAAGAAAACAACAAACAGCAACTTGTTAAATTGAGCAAAACCAGTGCAGACTGAAAGTGAGGGAAAAAAGTGATGGGTGAAATCAGATGATTCGGCACATTAATAGAAAAATGTCTTAGTCAAGACAAGAAAGACCATCATATGGTCTTCTATCATATGGAAGACAAGTTCAAGCATTTCATGATGGAGGCATTTTTTGATGGAGAAGCTGTTTAAAATCAAATCTAAATGTGGTGAAAATAAATAATCAGAGAGCAAAATGAACAACGATAATAATTTTGTTCTAGCAATAGGATGAAGTAAAATAAATTCCTCCCTGTCAACTAGTAGGATGGGGAAGCAAGTAATCTAGTCCCTATGAGAGCCATTACTGGAAGAAGTACAAAACTGAAAATATATTATTCAGATTATATTTTTATCATCATAATTGCAGCAGATTTTTAAAGGAAGGTTTCCTAGCAGCCTTTAATTCTGTAATTACACACTTGAGCCTCAAGAATGTCCAAAACCACAAAGGTGATGTTAGAAGCTAAAGGAAGCAAAATGAAATTTGAAGTTAAAGTAACAGATCAAAAGCTTTGTTAAACAGCTGACTCAATAGGATTAGTGATTGTATGTACATCTGTATTTTATGCCTATCTATAATACTGGCAAAGATGTTCATAACAAGATAAACTGCCCAACTTCCCAAGAAAAAGACTTAACACATCATAAGTTGTAACCTTATGATTTTATGAGATGTCTCCAGTGTACATAACAGGAGGGCCAAAAAAAGCAAAAATTCTCTTATTTATATCCACAATATTTTTGGTAAATTATCACTAGTCTGTAAAACCAAGATGTGAGATGTGCACATTATTAGATCCTCTACTTAGGACTGGACTTAGTTATACCATTTTCTTGTGAAAAAAAACCCAAAACATTTAGATAGATACCTATCCTTCAAATTCAGGGAGAATATTGAGACCAGTTATTAAGTAATCAGCCCTGGAGTTGATGCCAATGGTTGAATTCTGATACCCTCAGCAAAAAAAAATGACTTGTCTGTAAGGCTGTCTGGTTTTTTTTCTGTTCCATGTTTCAATGGATAGCTTCATGCCCATACAAAGCCATGTAAACAAATCCTGAAATACAAGACTAGCCTCATGCAATTTAATTTTCTCTCTTGTATTAGGAGGAGGCAGCAGTATAATTGGCTATTCCTAATAGATATAGTTAAAAAGGAGAGGTGGAGGTAGATAGTGGAAGAGAGGGAAAGGAAAGGGAGGTTGATATTTACTTGTTTTGTCGGCTATTTGTAGGGGAAGTAAGTGCTAATTTTAAAAATTTTTAGTTGTGAAAATCATCATCTACTGTCATTTTTATAGGGCCGTTAAAAAAACAAAAAAAAGAATTAAAAAAAAAGTACATATTCAGCTTGGGTCATTGAAATGAGTGCTTAGCTTCTTTATCTCCTGTATTGTGTATCAAGTGCAGCACATTTACATGAGCTAGCTTAATTTATACATCTTCTGTAGGACCCTTCACAAAGTCTTTTGTGCTGTGAATCAGAACAGCAAGTGGAGAGAACATAAGATGGATTTTGTGCTGTAACTCTTGCAGGATTTTGACTTTCTGACAAGAAAAATGCTTTTCATTTTGATAATCTTGCTGATTTTTAATTAGCTGTAGAATTTATGTGTTGAACCCCAAAGTACTGTACTACTAGCTGCATTGAATTGGGTCAATATCTTCTCCTCTGGATTTGCAAAACCTTTCAGTCTGTTTGTCAAAAATAAAATAAATACCTTTATTTTATTCTTGATTGGATGTTAGATTCCCTCAAAGTAGCAACATACATCTGCTGCTGTACTGCTTGGAAGTGAATATTATTCCTCTAGCTTCCACTAAGCTGACAATTAATAAGCAATTACCTTTGTTCAGACTTAACAGAATTTGGCTAACTATTATTACATAAAATGATAAATAAATAAATAACTAAATAAATTGATAAATAAATGGAATAGCCACACTTCTGGAACCCCTAGTTTATATCTTATTGAGATGGGGAAGATTTGATACAGCATAATACATATAAAAAATGTAACAACAAATTCCCCAAAACCCCAAACACCTAAAACCCCAAGCATAAGTAAACCAAAGTACCAAAATTCTTTCTTTCACTCAAAAAAAGGTAAGATAAATTCTTTCAGGTAAACAGATGAATACAGGAATCATAAGATTGTTAAAGTCAAATTACCAGTCTAGTTTAAGAACTAAGGAATAGCTCTTTATGAACAGCAAAGGAATGCTAAAAAAGGCAATTATGTTCATGAGCTTTTGAAAATGGAAAAAAAAAAACCCAAGCTAAGCTGCTTTAAAATCTGTAGTGGTGGGTCTTGGTATTCCCATAACATTATATAACAGTGTATTAGAAGAAAAGGAATAATTTTCACAGGAAATAAACTAATGCATATGGGAATGGAAAGGAGAATGGAAAGTTCTCAGAGTAATGCACAGAAAATGAATCATATACTCTCAGTATAATATATCACAAAGTCCCAGTAAATATGCTTTGCTTTGCTGCAAAAGAAGGTTCAAACTCACGCACAACAGAATATTAAACTTGGTATTAGTAATTTTAAATTTTAATTTTCTGTATTTTTTCATGCCAAGAGGAAGTCATATTTATGGAAGGCTTACCAAAATTATAAGGATATATAAGCATTACCCAAAGTTAAATGTTTTTTGTGCCATTGATTTGTCTTTATTCTGAACCTACGAGAAGAAAAGAAAAAAGAAAAGGTGGGAAAAGCATAATTTCAAGTAAATATTTAGGTTACCAATTTTGAAATTGTGTCCGGGTAGTGTGCTACTCTTACCTCTACTACTACTTAACTCTTCTAAAACTTGTTGATCTCAGCTAATATATTTCTCATCCCTACAAAGTGGGACAGAATTAAGGCTCACTGTCCTACAGCCATTAAATGTAGTTATTTAGTAGCAATGAGCACACGGAACTTTCAAATAGTAGTCTCCTAATGCAAATGATGGAAAGATTTGCAACATACAAATACTTCAGAGGCTTGTCCCTAAAGTAGATATTTGAACAGAGGGACAATAGTAGCTCAGTAAAGGAACACAATAGGAATAGTTCCCAGTTATATGTATTAGCCCTGCTTTTTCATGTTTTGAACTTTTTTTATGTAATACACAGAGCTAGTGTAAATTCTTATGGTCACATGGACTTCCAACATTGCCATGGGGGTTAGATGTCTATATTTACTACTTACAGCAGTGGAAGTAGTGGTAGCTTAAATGAGAAAGTTTTAGTCAAACCTTGAGAAGAGCCAAACTTACACCTTTACTATGGGGAGATGCACTGTACAGTCAGTAATTTTTCTTTTGTTTATTTATTAGCATCTGTTGTTAAATTTGGGAGGGTTTTTTAGCTTCTTTTTTTTCTAGGTTTTGTTAATTATCAGATAAACCATTAAGTAAAGGATGTGGGGGTTTTTTGGTTTTTGCTTTTATTTTTTGTTTTGGTTTTTCAATGACTGTAATACTGCCTGTTTTGTTTTTGTAGAGATCCAAACCAGCCTGTTCCACAGGACACAAAGTTCATCCACACAAAACCCAACCGCTTTGAAGAAGTGGCCTGGTCCAAATACAATCCTAAAGACCAGCTTTATCTGCATATTGGCCTGAAACCCCGAGTTCGTGATCACTACCGAGCAACAAAAGTTGCTTTCTGGTTGGAGCTTGTACCGCACCTTCACAACCTGAATGAAATATTTCAGTACGTTTCCACAACAACTAAAGTCCCCCCTCCTGATATGACATCATTTCCTTATGTGACACGACGTTCTCCTGGTAAATTGTGGCCAGCCACCAAACGCCCAGCAATGACACCTGCCAACAATCCGAAGCATTCAAAAGACACCCATAAAACAGCTCCAGAGGATACAACAGTTCTGATAGAAAACAAGCGAGATTACTCCACGGAGCTGAGCGTTACTATTGCTGTGGGGGCATCCTTGCTGTTCCTCAATATTTTAGCTTTTGCTGCGTTATATTACAAGAAGGACAAGCGGCGTCACGAGACTCACAGACGCCCTAGCCCCCAGAGGAACACAACCAACGATATTGCACACATACAAAATGAAGAGATTATGTCGCTGCAGATGAAACAGCTAGAACATGACCATGAGTGTGAATCGCTGCAGGCCCATGACACACTGAGACTAACCTGTCCGCCTGACTACACGCTCACTTTGAGAAGGTCCCCGGATGACATCCCCCTAATGACACCCAACACGATAACGATGATTCCAAATACATTAACAGGGATGCAGCCTTTGCATACTTTCAACACCTTCAGTGGAGGACAAAACAGTACAAATTTGCCCCATGGACATTCGACCACTAGGGTATAGCTCAGCCCTTCCCCCTCTACCCTCACAAGCCACTTGGAAGAAAGAAAAAAAAAAAAAAAAAAAAAAGAGGAAAAAGTTATAAAATCATCTATTTGAACACCTTGTCAAAATCTAAAGTAAAAACAAGTAAAAGAGAAGGACAGTCATTATTTTCTTACTGATCCTTCCCACAGAAACTCTCTGGTGTTAAAGATCAACTAGAAACCCTGTGAAATGTGAAAAGTGTACATTGCTGTTACGATACTGCTTTAAGATCTCAGCTACTTTGATTGAAAGTTGAGGCCAGAAGAAGTCACTTAAAATGGTGTTCTGAGTGTAACAAGCAAAGCAGAGTCTTCTGGAACACAGAGCCAGTGACTGTACAGGTGTTTTGTTTTGGTTTTTTTTTTAATAAATAAAAATATAAAAAAAATTCTTTATGTGCCATACCATGAATGGCCCTTGTTAAAACAAAGACATCACCATGGGCTTTTACACAGCATATGAAGCTGTAATCCAGATGGGGGAAATAGAATTTTATTATTAAAAACAAAAATGAAAAAAAAAGAGGAGGACTGACTATGCAGTAAAATACGTATAGTTCTGTGCAAAGAGATGACTTGCCAGCCTGAACTATATTTAAAGAAACTTTGTAAAAATGTACATAGCTGTGAGTTTAAAAACAAAAAAAAAAGCTTTTATTGATGTTTTCAGTTTGAAAAGAGCTTTTAGAAAGATTGTGCATTCAGTTGTGACCTATGTGTATATACATTAGTCATATCACCTCTGTTTCCTCCAAGCCCAGTGGAGGAATTTCTTAATTACTAGTGGTAAACAAAAACCAGGAGTTTTTTCTAACATGTTTCATTTATATGAGGCCATGTTGTCATGCAGAGGACACAGTTGTCTGTGTGACCTGCATATTTTCTCTTACAGGTTACACTAGTGCATGTTAAAGTATTCATAGGAGATTATTGTTCTTTTCTGAAACTTTTTTTTCTATAATTTAAGTTTGTGTTAGCCTTTGTTAAATTGCAACACAGAAATGGATTGGAAAATGAAGAAAAAAAACCACAAAAGAAAATAGTTACTATTTTAAGCTTGTTGAACTGAACCAAGAAACATCCAATAATATATATTGAGAGTCCAGTTTGTAGTTCTTGGTTATTGTGATACATTAGGAAGAGTTTTGCGCCCTGACAAAAGCAAAACAAAAAAAGCTTTTTTTTTTTTTTTTTTTTGTCAGCCTTTTCTGAGGAAAAACAATTCTATATTCACCAGCAGTTGCAGTGGAATCTCAGCTGACAAAGCACCTTCTTAGCTTTGCTAAAAGAAATAAAACCATAATTTGAAAGTGAGGAAATGGTGGGTTGGTTGGCTGGCTGTTTTTTAAAGTGTTCAGAAATTATTAGTGTGTAAAGAACTTCTCTGCTCAGTATCCTGTTTTGTGCTTGAGAACGTACCTGTCAGAAAATACTTTTTTTGCTGATCTATTACACAGCAGTCCCATAGTCAGTGAACATTACGGAGAGGTGTTCTGCATCTGAATAAAACTGAAAATGCCAGAGACCATCACTCTCAGGAAGGGCAAAATTCTTAGTTGATTATTCCCTTCTGCCCTTCCTCCTTCCTTCACTAGGAAACCAGGGCCCAGGCAGAGCTATCAAAGAAAGGATTTTAGCAGTTTGAGTCAAACAACTGATTGAATGTGAAAAGCTAGAAATAAGTTCTCGCAGATGAAGATTGCTTTATATTTTGTCTTTGAAAGTTACTCCATCATCGAGAGACAGTAACCAAAGATATTTGAACAAATTGGTCTGCACTTGAACATGATTATCCCAGATGTATTTTCTATTATTAATTCACAACTAAGCTGCATCAATATCATATGTCCTATAAGTATCTGACACAAGATGCCTTGTACCTCTTCCTGTTTCCTATGCTTTTTGTTTTCTAATAAAATATCTTGGAATAGCCACCCCTACAAATAAAATCAAAGACAAGGTGATTCACTGAGGTCTATTCATCTGCACAACTCCTTGTTGTAGCAGGCAGTAAAAGAGATTCTGAAGGAAAGAAATAAAAAGAAAGTTAATGACATGATAAAAATGCAACATGTGGCTGATATAATACTTTATCTGTAATAAATGTGCTACAAACCTGACCTGGATGCTCAGGTTGGAATGTCATGAAGCAACAACCCCAAAGTACAACTAGTGGCAAATGGAAAACTGTTTTGTTTTTTTTTTCACTGATCCATCACATAAAGTTGATTAATGCTGACTCCATACCGGGCCATTCCCACCACCTATGTAATGCCTCAGCTGAGATGCAGCAGTTCATAACTCTTAAAAAAAAAAAAAAAAAAAAAATTAAAAAAAATTTAAAAATAAAAAAAAAGAAAAAAAGAAAGAAAAAAGTAAAAAAAGGTAATGATGCTTGACATCATAATCAGTTGGGTATGTTTGTAATGTGAATTACAGTATTTGTTTAGTACTTCCAATTGTCTTCTGCTAGCAATATGTACAGTACTGTGTCAGGCTTGTGACATTTGGGTAAAAAAAAGTTCCTGTAAGTGAATGATTTTAGCTTTTAAAAGTAATTACAACCAAGTTGATTTAATAATTTGATACATCTGGACTGATGTATGATTTCTAGAGGGAACAGATTTATAGGGTCTTCATAGAATTCTATAATAATGATATCAAAATATACTTTGCAAACTGTAAAAGAAAAACAAAAATACTTTCCCAGGCTTATATTCTTGACCTTAAGAGGCACGCAGGGTTTAATGGTTTCTTCTGTTATTGTTTTGCAATTTTTGTTTTTTTGCCTTAAGTAATGATAGAAGATATATATGGCTGGACACATATGTATAAACTTTTCAGCAGCATTTTTAATAATAAAATATCACAGTATTTTCTAATGCTTTGTGCAAAGAACTACGTGTTCATCCTTTTGTGTAGAAAGTCTTTCAGAGGTGTGTTTTCTGCCCCATCTCCATTTCATTATCTAATGTAAACAATGCCTTGATACACAAAAATATTAAAGTAACAGAGGTTGCACTTTTAAGTTAACATTGAGTTTTCATGGCTTTTGTAGTTCTATAAGCCTGACAGTAAAAGGAAAGAAACAGACAATGAAGATATACGAGAATAAGCTCCGTATATTTATCACCTGTATGCACTGCAACTCCCATTGAAGCAATGGTTTAATTGTTCTGTTAGTATTTTCTGTAGCACTGAAAAAAAAGCTTAGGTAAGCAGCTTCCCATATTAATGTATAGCTTAGCAGATGAAAACGTATCTTCCAAATTATGGTTCAAAATAATTCAGATAAATCTAATACATCCAGCCTCCACAAGTAAATATACTTTCATTTTATATTTAAAATTTAGATAAACAATGAGTTTTGTTAGAAAAAGTATGTAGGAGTAGCAATATAAGTTACTCATATGTATTTAAGGGATTTACATATATTGCAGATATGTTAATATTCTTCCTTCAAAAGCTGCGTGAGTAAATATACTTTGCTCTTTTATGCTGTTAAATTCCATTTATCAACCAGGTTTCCTTTCACTGGAAAGTTACATAGACATTTTAGTAATTTGAGCTGATTATTGTTTGCTTTCTGTAACTATTCTCGTGAGACCCCACCTGGAGTACTGTGTTCAGCTCTGAGGCCCCCAACATAAGAAGGACATGGACCTGTTGGAGCAAGTCCAGAGGAGGACCACAAAGATGATCAGAGGGCTGGAGCACCTCTCCTGTGAAGACAGGCTGAGAGAGTTGGGGTTGGTCAGCCTGGAGAAGAGGAGGCTCCGGGGAGACCTTATAGCAGCCTTCCAGTACCTGAAGGGGGCCTACAAGAAAGCTGGAGAGGGACATTTACAAGGGCATGTAGTGATAGGACAAGGGGTAATGGCTTTAAACTGAAAGAAGGTAGATTTACATTGGATATAAGGAAGAAATTCTTGAGTATGAGGGTGGTGATGCACTGCAACACGTTGCCCAGAGATGTTGTGGATGCCCCATCCCTGGAAGTATTCAGGGCCAGGTTGGATGGGGCTTTGAGCAACCTGGTCTAGAAGGTGTTCCTGTCCATGGCAGGGGGATTGGAACTAGATGATCTTTAAGGTCGCTTCCAACCCAAACCACTCTATAGTTCTATTATATGATTCTGCTGAATAGAGGTACTAACAATAATGTTTGATGAATTTTGAGCATCTTATTGAAGAGTATTTGCAAAAAGCAAATTCTGAATGATTCGCAACAGATTTTTGATATGAAGAATCAAGACTCTGAGATAGCAACATATTATGTGCCTACTGACCTAATCAAGCAGCTTGAATTTTGAGTATTGAATTTGTATATAAAGCTTTTGCAAATGAACTGCAGATTTAGAATTGTTCAGCAAATGTTTAACTACAGGTACACTTCTAAATTACACAGCTTGCTCTGAGATAATTCATACACAAGAAAAGGGGTTACAATTGTATCATTTCTGTGAATTGTTCACCTTAAATTGCTGGGTGAACTCAATAAATTACCTTCTTTTCAGTTAATCAATTTCACATTAAAAAAAAAACCTTCAGAAGTTGTTCATGCTAACTAAATATTGTGTTGCTTTATTTCTTTACTGTCTGAAATATAAATCTGCAGATTAGTATGTTTCTATTTCGACTTTGCTAAGAGTATGAAATTTAATGGTATTTAATATCACATAAAATCATATGAAATAATACCATGATAATTATGTGCTTGTCTCAGATTTGTAGTTTTACATTTGTATTATTTAATTATTGTCAACTGTTTCTCGTATTTTCATCTACAGCTGTTTGACATCACAAACCTCATCAGCCTGAATCTCTCCAGAGGCCATTAGCAGCTGGTAAAAACTGGGATTTTCATCCCACTAGAAATTATGATATTACGTATTTAATATCATAATATTTTAAAATGCTTCTCAACACCTCAAATTAGCCTGAAAAGCAAGATAATAACCTTTTATTAATGCAAATG